TGCATTCTGAAACTGCATTATATGGCAATGTAGATCCAGCCTAGGTCTTCAGAATTCCATTTCTGGTTTTGAAAAACAAATCATCATCATCATCATCATCATCATCATCATCATCATCATCATCATCATCATCATATCCTGCTTTCCTCTCTTGAAATGCAAGGGCATTTTTAAAAGTTAAACAATATTTATAAGGTGAGTTTCAGTTCCTGGAAAGAAAGATTGCCATTTGGGGCAGTGCAGAACAGTTAGGGGCTTTGAGAAAAGCCTTGGAGGCTCATGTAAGGTCCCATGGGAAGAGGAGAGAGTTTAAGAATAAGACACAGCTAACTAAGAAGTCTGGGGAATTAAATCAATCAATTGGTACACCAGGAACAGACAATGCAGCCATTCCACATCTTCAATTAAGTTTCTTTGTAGGTTAGATTTATATATGAAAAGCTATGTGTTCACCAGTGCTGGAACAAGGCATTATGTTTTATAGTTTCTAAACAGTAGAAATGTAATGAGGAAGCAGGTTTACCTTGCATAAAGGTGAAATGAAGATAAATATGAACATAGGATTTATAAACAGGCCTTCACAGCCGTTGTAACATGTACCATGTTATACTCCGCCTGCTCAGTCGTTGAGAACTTTGGGTCTTTGGACTGTACTTGGTCTGGAAGCTCCCCCGCAGCCACTCCTGGGAGTGCACGACACCAGTCGTTGTGCTCGCAGGTTCATTGGAACATGCAAGCCCCCTCATCATGACAAAGGGACAGTCCATCAAGGGGTGTTTGACAAGTACTAGTTGGCATGTAATCCAAAATAACATCCGGGTGTCCCCTGAATAACGTCCTTGCAGACAGCCAAATCTCTCACACTGGAAGCAACTTGCAGGTTCTCAAGTAATTCCTCCACAAAAAGAAGAAGAATAGGGGGGGAGGGGGGGGGGGAGGAAGACGGCATCAAGTTGAGAAAGGCTGCTTTGGAGTCATTATATAGGAAAAGCAGTTTTCCATGCTAAGTAGACCAAATGCTTTGGGCTGCTGGTTTTCTTTCCTTGGAACTGCCAAAAGCAAATGAGTAATGTAAATCAAGACAAATGTTAACAGCCCTTTCAGTTAGAAATTCTTTCAAAAGAAAGGACTTTATGTTTTGAACTGAAAAGTATATCAAGGCAGGATTACCTAATCTTGTGACAAAATGACTCAATAAGCCTGATTATAGAAATGAGTCATTATTCAGCTAAATTTATTTCTGATATTATTAGGCAGCTTGGAAAGATAACTTTTAGGAAAACTCAGATGGATTCTGGAAACAGTAGACCCCAAAAGTAACTTTTTAGGCTCTGGAATATTATAAAAATAGTTCAGAATGTCCCACCACACACACACAACCTTATACATGTAACGCCTGTTCAACAAGGTAAGATTCCTACACGAAGTATCATTGTGCAGTGCTTTCCATAGCAGGCACATGCACATACCTGCAGCATGTCTTTTCACATATATGAGCATGTATCTTGGCTTATTCAGAGTTTATTTTCATAACTTTATGAAGCTGTAGCTATATTGCAGATATGCAATGAAACCTGCAATAGTGAATTTTGTGAAGATGTACACCGGGGCACCGGCAATAGTGTTCCAAAATGCATCTGACACTTCTGATGTGCAGTGAATACTACTGATGTACATTGGACACTCCTGTTATGCTCCAGTACTTCCCAGCTGGTGCCTGGATGTGTATTGCCCCCCCCCCAATGGGTATCATTGCCCGTTTTGCCTCAGGTTGGGGTCATTAGTGACATTATCATTGCATTATGGATGCCCATACATTGCCAAGGCATCCCATGGGTGAAATTTGATTGTAGAATCACAGAACAGGAAGAAAGCACGTTGGCCATCCAGAAAAACCTGCTGCCATGCAGGAATACAGTTATCTAGCCTGTTTAAAAAACCCCAGAAAAGAAGACTTCACTACACTCCAAGGCAGCATATTCTACTGTTAAACAGCTCTTACCATCTTTCTTTCAAATGTTTTTGTGTAATTTCTTTTCCTGTACTTTGAATGTTGTGAAACTGTTCAATTCTGCAGACATGTAAGATCATTTTACGAAGATGTATGTTCCAAGCAGAATGCCAACTGATCTTTGTCCTCCTATGAATACTGGTTTCAGTAAAGCTTATCGGTATGTAGAAATAATTTCATCCAAGACAGAATTTCATTTGCATTTATTAAACAGTTTCTCTGACAATTAAGCTCAAAGTGACATTTCTCTGAAACACTGAAAAGGAAGGGGAAGTCATAATAATATGTCTAAAGGATCAGCCAGTGTGTAGACTCTCATAATACAACATCAAAGATAGAAATCTTACAAAACATGTAAAAAAAACCCCACTCAATCACAATAGTGCAAGAAGTTAAAACTATGTCTCTGTATGGAGGCAGTGTAAAATAAGCTGAGAACACAAACCCTTTATATATCATAGCAAGGCTTAAAGTTGAAGGGCTCCTGAGTCTACTTTATGAGAAACGGTTAAAAAAAGGTATTCAACAGTACATTAAACGGAGGGTTCCATTACTTCCTGTACAGCTAGCAATACAGGTTGAGCATCCCTTATCTGGAATTCCAAAAATCCCAAATTGTCTACATGGTTGACCAAGATAGTGACATTTTTCCTTTCTGGTTCAGTGTATACAAACTGTTTCTTGCACAAAATTATTAAAATATTGTATAAAATTACTTTCAGGCTCTGTGTATAAGATGTAGATAAACATACATGAATTTCATGTTTAGACTTGGGTCCCATCTCCAAGATCATTTTGTGCGCATATGCAAATACCCAAAAATCTGAAAAAAATCAAAAATTCAAAACACTTCTGGTCCCAAGCATTTCGGATAAAGGACATTCAACCTGAGAATTGCTTTTGTCCTTAAGGAAAGAATTTGTTACAGAGTATTTGACAGTCTGTAATCTCGTAGATACAGGCAAGGTGAATCTACAGTATGTTCTTGGGCAACAGTGGCAATTCAACTGTGATACTTCAAGGAGCTCTCCAGTTCAGAAGTCTTGTCATCTCATTTACAGATGGTTCTGGGTCTGCTGACTTTGAATTTATAGATGCTAGCTATCATATATATCCTTGGATCCTTAACTAAAATAGTGCATTCCACTTAAGGATCACTACTGTAAGAGACTGGTGAGTGGGCCATCTTGACCTCTTGGGCATAATTCACAAAGTGCTCGTGTTTACTTTTAAAATCCTCATAGCCTATGATCCACATGCAATAAGAGGTAACTCTTTTCTTTCCATCCTTGTCCACTAAATTACTTAATCTAAAAAGCAGCTGAAATGTGACTTTCTAAATAACATATACATTAATCTAATTCAGATCACACATATTTTCAAAGAGTACCACCCAATATATACCATCAGGAAATGCTTCTAAAACTTTGTTGCATGCCTTCAAGCTGTTTGTGATTTGCAGCAATCTAAGGTGAACCTGTCAAAAGGTTTTCTTGTCTAGATTTGTTCAGAAGGGGGCTGGCATTGTCTTCTTCTAAGTCAGAATATGACTTGTCCAAGGTCAGATGGTGAGTTTCCATGGCTAAGTTGGTATTCTAACTCTAGCCTTCAGAGCCAAACCACTACATCCTTTGGGATGACAATTTTGGGGGATTAAAAAAAATTGGGGGATTTTTAAAAAATGAATCATAGGTAAAGAAATATTTGATTATTTAATATTTAATTGCTGGCTCCTGAAAGTATCAACCAAATTTACTGAAATGAGTTTGCCAGAATCTGGTGAGAAGACAAATGCAGATGTATTTGCTATCTCCAAGGAACTGTGTCCCCAAATGGATAGTAGTGTGTTCCATTTTGCAGACATTTCTCTTCATAAGCAGTAACTGTATCTTGTTAGCTATTGGAAGAGGACAAAAACTAGCTGGATTTGGGGTTTCTCTGTTTCACCTTCCCATCAAAGGGCTGAAGGGTATAAAAATGAACTGTGCGTATATACAGTTGGCCTCTAGCTATATGTTAAAAATGGTGACGTGTGATATAGAAGACCTGCCTGAGATACTCTATGTGCAGTGATCCTTCTTCATGTTAGAGTAGGGCAGTGCTTCCTTCCTGCTCTGTAAAGTGAGATATTTTTGAGATATTTGTGAGATATTTGTGGTTGTAGTGCACAGATATGGACAAAAAAATTGATACTTAAAGTAGAAAAATAAAGGTAGAGTAGCTGATGTAGATCAGCCAGAGGTTGATGGTTTAACTGTTGATTTAGAGGGGGATTTCCTGTGGCACAAAGTGATGGGCCCTTAAATCTGGGAAATTCAGGTCTTGGAAATGATGGTTCTCTCCCTGAGAAAACTGGCTTGGAAAGTGCAGGCCCCCAAGGCCAGTCAGAGGAGTCAGAAGTAGCAACAGCAGATAAAGAATTGAGTGAAGAGCTGAGTGATAAGGAGGTTCCCAGGAGAAACCACTTGTAGCTACAGAGATCAACAAAAGTCTTTGTTTACAAATCAGAGCCGAAAATAGATTTTGTCAGTCTGAGAGATTACGTGAGAAAATTCACAGGAGTTCTCTTATTCCTGGTTCAAGTCAAGCCTTGGTTTTAGATTTTAATGTCCTGGAAGTTTTCTATAGTCCTGTTAATGTATTCCTGTTCAAGTTTTACTAGTTATACCTTCTTGCTTGTGGACTTATCCTGCACCTGTGATTTCCGTCTGTTCTTGGACTTTGTAACCTCTGGAACTTTATGAGACATTTGAACATGGCTGCTCAGCTCCTGGGAATTTATCATTTTTCACCTACTGTTGTATGACGCTTTTACAAGGTTTACCTGGATTAAAGCATCTGAAATCTTATCTACGTCTCTTCAGTCAAGTTGAACATTGTCTGGCCACATATATCTGTGTAAGTATTTGTTAAATAGAGAGCTACAGGACCCTCCCACAACCTCACAGTTGCAGCCAAGTTATTGAGCTAGAATACCTGTTGCTAAACGTTTTTGGATAATATATCCTCCTTTCTTATTCCTGTTTTTAATATGCTTTTTATGTGTTTTACAATAAACTGTTTGGTTATATTCCACCACACTCTTGCGTGGTGCGGTAATCATAGGTGTTTCCAGGTCTGGAGTACAGCAATAGCTGGGGTAAGTGGTACCCATGGTACCTTTGTTATCTGCTGGGGTTTGGGTCCAGAACTCCCCAAGGACACCAAAATCCATGGATGCTCAAGTCCCATTGTACACTGATGTAGTAAAATGGCATTTCTTACATAAAATGGTGAACAACTCAAATGAGTTTGAGGATCTGTGAAATGGTGGGAAGCTATAGCAGAATACATCTACACATCAGTCTCGTGCTCAGTCCATGGCAAAATCAAGTTTTCCTTTTCTGTCCCCCCCCCCCCCCAAATAGTATCAAGATGGTTGAAACTGTCAACACAGAATTCATGGATGCAGAGTGCCAACTGTTAATAAATCTCGCAATAAGAACAAATAAATAACGAGGAACTCCTGTTCTTTTGTGATACCCATTTGTTGCTCTCTAAGGAGATTACCTCACATTACTAAATGGTGGAATTGGCTTTGATGGTGAATTAATTATATTTGGGAAAGGGATACCAATGTGATACAAACATTTCCTGAGGCAATAATATGGGGCATTTATAACCCATCAGTCATTTTTCTTTCCAACAGAATGTCCAAACAGAAATACTACTACTTTGCAACAGTGCTATTCTGAAGGGCATTGCTGATATATAAAAATAGATCATCCTGTGAGTTGCTCATGGTACGTTCATTTCATAAGTGAAGCTAATGTTGCCAGTGGTAACTCTTCCCTTATAAGAAAAACAGCTCTGGAGATGCAATTTTAATCTGAACTGCATCATGGTATGTACGTGTGTTAAACTCTGTTCCCATGCACTATGGCCTCACCCTATGTTTTTCTCTTTCATGTAAAGATATAAAACCTGATCCCATTAACTTTGGCCTTCCTACGAATTTATCTGAAGTAGAAAATTGTTGAGAGGAAGGAGAAAAATTGTACACAGGGCTCTATGTTCTTACTCCCTCTTTCTCCATTTCTCCCTTTTCTTTTCCAACATGTAGCCAAATATAACTGAAATTCTACCATATGAAAAAGACTGTGAATATACTAAGCATAATAATGATAATAATAATTCATTTTGTCTAGTAGATATTCAAATGGCTCTAGCCACCATCATCCCAAACATCCTGCTGAGGCATACCAAGGCATTTTATAACCGTATCATCTAGAAACTAGGATTATAAACACTATGTTCTCCCATTCCTCAAAGTGAAGATTTTTCCATATGCATGTAACTATTATGCAGAAAGTCCTGAAAACAAAGCCATTATGTCTAAATATTATAAAGCAATAACATCAGTTATCGATAGCACACAGAAAGTTTGCACTGTAGTCTTCCTAGGATGAGATGTAGTGTTTCAAATTAGCATTGACAGCATCAGCCAAAAGAACTCAGTCAAATAAATAGAACCATTTCCCACCAAGTTCACTAAAAGGGGGAGTTGTAGTTTCTTGACAAAAATTGAACTAGGTAACAAACAATTGCGACTCTACTTAACCATCCAAGAAAAAGTTCAGATGACGTTTGTTTCCTCCAAATATATGCCAAACCAACACTGATCAAATTTCAGCCAAATCCCCTATAAGGGAAGCTATGGCTTTGTCTAAGGAATAATCCTGCATGTAGCATCAACTGAAATAAAGTAGTTTTTCAATGACTAACAACCACAAAATGTGCAATATTTAAAAGTTTTCTTTCAAAGATGACAAATAGGGCAGGCCAATTGACCTGCCTTCTACCTACTGAAATGCCCAGTGGTTGCATGGGTTGAGATGAAAATGTTATTACACATTTTCACTGAGATGTGAATATTATAGGTTTAAAAAAAAGGAATCCCATGGTGTATTTCTCATTTGTCCATTTCTCAGTTATTCTTCAGACTACCTGGGAGACCTTTTCTGAGGACTAAATTACCATCTTTTTAGGACATGTCAAGTACTTACTAGGAAAAAGTTTATTAACAGGACTATGGCCATACCACTTCAGCTGCAGTTCTCAAAATACTATTATTTCACTGCAGGAAGTATAGTGGTATGTGTGAAGGCAGACTTAGATGAACTGTAAAGCCCTACATTCATTGTGGGCTTCTATCAAAGTCACGAAGCTGTTGTAAACAAATCTCAAGGGTTTCTTCTCTAAAGAAGGTTCCAGAGGGCAAGAAAACCTTACAGCCCTTTAAATATTTCCTGGATCTTCTGCCTGAGCAGGTAAGCTGCTGTGTTTTCTCTTCTTCAAGCCCTGTTGATTTTACTGTTCCAACTGAAGATGGACCTTTCCCTCATTGCACAGCACAGTCCTTGGGGTTACTGGTGTCTTCTGCCACTTTGCCTGCATTCAAGCTCTTCTTCTGCTCTATTTCCACCTGGAAAGAAAATGGAAATGAACGAACTATCTGTTTTCTGGTCTCTGTCAGCAGTAACTAAAGTGATAAAGGCCTAGAATAATTGTCCACATCTAAGACTCTTATTTGCCAAAGTTGCACAAACACTCCTCAGAATGACTGGAAATATAGCTAAATGGTATTGAAAAACTGCACCTGTGCATAAAAACTAGCATGAGCACGGTGGTCCACGGAGGAGGCCCTGCTCTCAGTCCCACCCCTGTCTCAAGTGCAGTTGTTGGGAATGAGAGGGGAGGGGGGCTTCTCTGAACTCCCTCCCCAAAGAACTAAACATTGTCCCCTCTCTCCTCTCCTTTAAAAAGATTTTAAAAACCCATCTGTGCAACCTAGTTTATAGAGAGGAGGAGGACTAGCATATCAAACACACATTCTCGCCCGGACATAGAATACCTATCTCAGTCTGATGATGTAATACATCATACATGTTTTGAACGTATTGTTTTTAATTGGTTTGACTTCTTGTGTTTATTTAGTTTAACCCTCCGTTCTGGTTGTTAATAAGTTTATTGAGTCTATTTATTATACGTTTTGCCTTGAGTGCTATTTATTTGTTTTTTGGCACTGAATGTTTGCCATGTCTGTTTTTCTTGTGAACTGCCCTCAGTCCCTTTGGTGAGAGAGGATGGTCTTATAAATAAAGTTTTTAAAATTATTTATTATTAGTATGCAAGAACTTGAATTATTGACATAGTATTCAATATGACAGGAAAAGCTCTTAAACCGGGTGGATATAAATTAGTGTATGGGTTGGTTCAGGTAGGTGGAGCATTAGGGCAGCAATTCCTATCTTTCATTTAAAAATACAGCAAAAAAGTACCGAAAATTCTGAAGTATTTTTCTTTTCTTCCTGTCAGATTCATGGCTAAATAAAATGCTTTATATCTTGTCAGATAAAAGGTCAATTTCAAAAATTGGAAAGCTTATTATTTGGGACGACAACTCCCAGACTCATCCAGGTAACACAGGTAAATTATGAAGATTAGCGGATTCTGGAAGCTGTAGTCCAACACATTATTTTTTCCAAGCCCTGGGGAGGGTCTGATAGTTCACTGCAGTGAGTTCTTACTATTAAGAGTTCTTTTGGAACCTATTCATTCCCCCAGTCCTGGCAAAAGAGACGTATGAACATTTATGTTAGTTGCATAATCATACCTTATAACTGTAGTGTGCTGAATAGTTGACCCATTTCCTGACATCAGATTTGCCTTCCACAGAGATAGACCGGATGGTGGCCTTGGATGCAGAAGTAGTTGGCATATCAAATTCCACGTCCACATAGTGGACAAAACTTGAAGGCACTTCTCGGTCTGAGCCAAGTTCCAAGTGGCAGAAAAAACAGTGAGGATGACCTGAAGCTATGAAGGAGTGGAGAAGGAAAACAATGCAAACATTAAAACTTCTCTGTTACAATATAATTTGTATAATTATATTGTGAGCCGCTCCGAGTCTCCTCGGGGAGATGGGACGGGATACAAATAAAGTTGTTGATGATTATGATTACAACTGAACATAGCATGGGAATGTTCCTTTTTTGGATTATAACTATTAGATTCCCCAGTCACAATGACATACTAGTTGGAAGACTTAGAAAAGTGTCACCTTTCCAATAGTTTTCAGAACACTGCAAAACTCATGGGGTTAAGTGTCAATTAGTCCTAAAACCAGGTTACTTTGCAAGGAGATAAAAGCCTAATGGGACTTGCCAAAGATCCTAGTAAGATTTGGGAAATGAATGGACTTTCACATATGATCAGACTGCAACTACTATTAGATCTGGCCAGCAGAATCACTGATGACAGAGGATGGGATCTGCAGTCCTGACAGCATTGGGAGGGTCACATGTTACCCACCCCATTCTAAAGAATTAATAATAATAATAATAATAATAATAATAATAATAATAATAATAATTTTAATTCTTATCTGCCTTTAATTATTGTGGCTCGAGGCAGGTTACAACATAGTTAAAACACATAATCATTGTAAGTATTCTATAAAATACACATTTTAAAATATATTTCTATAATAAATAAATAAATAACTTTATTTTTAGCCCGCATTGGAGATAGAATGACACCTTGTGGGATGCCATCTAACCGTTCCTTTTTTGAGGAGCACCTATCCCCAAGCACCACCATTTGGTACCAGCCTGCAGGAAAGTGCCTCTGATTCCCAGCCCATCCAGAAATTCCAGAAGGATACCATGGTCAATTGTATTGAAAAGTGCTGAGAGGTCTGGAAGCACCAACAGGGACACACACATGTTGTCTGCATTAAGACTGAGATTATCTACTAAGGCAATCATAGCACTCTCAACTCCATATCCTGCTCTGAAGCTGGTTTGAAATGGGTCAAGGAAGTGTGTGTCATCCAAGACTGTCTAGAGTTGGAGGGTCACTGCCTTCTCAATCACCATACCCCAAAAAGGTTAGACTGTCAATCAGAATTTAAGGTCTGTTCAGCATTTAGGAATATAAAAAATACTTCCTAGAATGCAGAGAATTTATGTCAGTGAGTGGAGAACTATAAAGAGGTCCAAATATCCTTTAGAAAGGACAATAAGAGAGGAAACTCCTATTGAAAAGCTACTATATAGTTGTGTCTATGTCTTTTTGGAAGCCCTCAACTCTAATCTGGCCACAGCCTTAAATCTACTAGGTGAACATATCCAAATGACAACAAGCATGATAAACATGCTTGGAAACAAAAAATTATGATGAATAGTTAAGGGATTTGGATATTTCATAACCCAAGGTTGAGAGATCAAAATGCCTGCTATTCAGAAACTATGGAGGGCCATACATTCTCAACTCCTGTTTTGAAACATGCACAGATCCAGAAAGAAGAATACATCACTTCTGTCTGGGTTTACACTGCCATGCTCCTCGTGTATAGAGCAGAAAAGGATTAATGAAGTGCAAGTAACAGGTAAAACCAATCTGCATGTTCCCTAAAAATTTAATCGAAACACATTGATTTAGAAATTCTTTTTAATGAATAGAATCCTCCCCTCCCTAACCCCATATAAAATATGTAGATTGATCTATAAATCTCTCCCTCCCCCTTTTCTCTCGCTCATATGTGTATGTGTATGTGTGTGTGTGTGTGTGGGTGGGTAAGGTGGAATTAACTTTGCAGGATATGTGCTTAAAAAGTATCTCACTTTTCAGATTCTACTGCTCACTGTAATGCACTTTGAGAAAAAGAGATATTCATTATTGTCTGATATTGATTAAAGGCCAGTTTTCTACAGTATTCAGATCCCAAGCTGTGATTTAAATCCCATTCTTATTTGGTATGCAATGGCTTTCTCACATTCAACGCTGAAACATATTATATGAATCAATGTTTTCTTAACACTTGTTGTTCTGCTTGCCTGCTACCTAACTAAAAAAAAAAAACAACACTCTTGTAATGAATTACTGAATTGTGTCCAGCCTGTAAACAAGGCTTATTGTATCAGCCAGCAGCAGCATGCTGCATATGAATCAGGGAAAATGCCAGAGAACTTACCAAGCTGTTCTTGGAACAATCATAGCAATGCTCTTTGTGGAATACAATTGCTCTGTTTTGATCTTACAGCTCCAAATTGGCCAAACATAATGGTTTTTTTGTAGGACTAGTTTTGTGACATACAAAAACAGCTGTCCTTCAAACACAACATAAGACAGCTGCACAGTTAACAACATCTGCAAGGCGTAACTGGTGCCTGTATGCATCATTGCAAACTCCATCTAGCAAGACCCAAATTGGGTTGATTTTATGAGAAGCCGGAAGTACATATTAATCAGGTTAAGGCCTCAATCTGTACACATTTACAAATAGAACAGAATTTTCTTGTACGTATAAAGGATAGAAGTGTCGTATAAACCACTATATTCAGCATTTTACATTTTATAACAAAACACACTATTATCCAATCAAACTAAGTGATTTATTTCTCATTGTGGTGATACACCTATCATATCCACACAAATCTAATGCACACCTTTTAAGGTCAAATTGCATTGTGAAAATTAGGGTGTGCATTAGATTAAATGGTGTCTTAGATTTGAGCATGTAAAACAGTTATCTGCACCAGGTTTTGCAAACTGTTGGGTAATCTCATGAGCCTAGGTTCCTTTGTAGCCATTCAGGATGCATGGTCCAAGGGGCAGCAACCAATAAGAATGCTGTGCTGGCCCTTTTTCGGCCAATGGAGAACCTTTTTGGATTTTCCCCCTTGCTAGGGCTGCAGCAAAGTGGAGGAACTCTGAGTGATGCCTCCATTTACAGAGGCTGCAGCTGCAACCTGGCACTCAGGCAGGTTGAAGGTTGAGAGCTGAGCATGTAACTGTGGACATTATTGTGGCAGCAGGTGAACTAGGAGGGTGGGAGGGGCCAGGAATGTTGGTGGATGTGTAAACCACTATATTCCACAGTCCTTGGCCTACCAGGGGCTATGGCCCCTTTACATGGAGGTGCCACTCGGATATCCTCACGAGTGCTGCAGCCTGAGTGGGTGGGTGGGTGGGAATCCAGGGACATCCCCTAATGGCCATTAGATTTGCTTAAATATCTGGATTGAGTAACTTACTATGAACAGGTGAATACTGTCTTACTGTATCTCATTCTTAATGTAATTTTTATGCAAATAATAGTGTGGGACTTCAACATTTCTTTCCTGGAACCAATGTGACATCACAGAAATGTCAAGCACTACAAATGATAATGGCTGTTTTCTCACCCAAATGATGACTTTTCACATTCTTCCTGTAGGGAAGAAAAACATGAACCTCTGAGGAATACCTGTTTTTTTTTAAAAAAATTAAAAAACAACTTTGATGAAATTAGTGAAATTTCTCTTAAGACAAGGTTTTCCTCCCACACAGTTTGAAACTTATGTTGGAATGCTTTTTTACTCATCAATATCCCAAAATGCTCTACAATTTACTGCAAGATGATCTGGTTGAAGGAGCAATATACTCACCAGAGTTTTTGTCAGGCAGTCGATTTATCCTCCACACAATAGAATTAAAGGCATGCTCATATTTGGCAGTTCCTAATGTTACTCTCATTACTGGTTCAGAACCAGAAACACCGGCGGATCCAAAACTAGCACTTTTGTTCACCTTTGCTTTCAAGGACTTTTCACCAAGAACACTGTCCCTGCGGAAGTTTTTCACCCACTCCTGCGGCACAGGATAGCGGACCATCACATTTTCACAGGGAACCTGATTTAGTGGGTCTCTGTTGGAGGAGAACCCTGGGGACATCATCAGCCAACTCTGAAGCTCCACTTCAGCCCCATGGATGCTAGCTGCCACCCTCAAGGAAAAGGGCAATGTCTTCTCAGAAAATGCCGTCCTAAAGCGCATTAATTCAAACCTGCAGGCATCCAAGGGATTAAACAGAATCGCACGGGCAGTGGCAAATGCCTCCTCATCCACACATGAGTGGAAAAGGCAATCATATATCTTAATCCACTTGGTGGTGGTGGTGGGCATGATGTCCTGCCGGGAAACAATTTCATTCCCTTTGACAAGGATGTCATTGAGACCCAGCCTGCATTCTGCTAGGCCAGAAAGAAAAGTGAGAACATAGATTCTTGTCAACACATTATGCTGCAAAATCCTGTTGTCTCCTTTGGCCAAAGTGCCATAAAACTCATCCTTTACATCCACAGTAATCTCCTCCTCTTGGTAGTTTAATCCCACAGTGCTCAGGTCTGTTGATGAAGCAGGCAAATCCATCAGTGTATCCTGGACTGACCTGATGAAGCTGAGGAAGTCTTCATAATTGGTGGTGCCTAACTTGATAACCTGTTCTCTCTCTGCTGTGTGCAAGACAGATGGTTTTGGCTGGTATTTCTTTTTCTCCTTGTAGGTGGTTCGGTCTATTCTCACACTGTGTATCCTTCCATTCTCATCATAGTTCTGGAGCTTAGGTTCTGAAATTTCATGGTTGATATCAAGTTTGAATTCCTTGAAAGGCTTTTCCAGTCCTTTCTCATAAAAGAGCTGCAAGCATCTGCTCTCAGTCAGTTTGACATAAATTGGTCCCCAGTGCCTAGAGGACATGATATTCTTTTTTTCTGGTATCCTCAACATCATCGGCCAGCCATCATTTCGCTGAGGTGGTCCCAAACTGGATAAGGTATGGTCCAGCTGAGTTGGTATGCTAGGGTCATCATCAGGTAGAGTAGGGCTGCTGAGCTGATCAGGATCCCCAATCTGAAGTTGTTTCAGTTGTTCAACGGCATCTCTGTGCCTGAGATGTTTACTTGATTCATTGAAGCTGATAGTATCAGCCTCCTGATGGAGAATAATGAGGGAATCTCTCTGGTTTCTACCAGAGTTGCCTGAAGCAAGGTAGGTCTGGGAACGTTTGTCTCGTTCCTCAAAAAAAGAACTGAATGGGTTGATGGGGGAAGGTTGAACATCATTTAGAGAATCATCAAGGAATGGATTAGTAGCACTCCAAGGAGGTGCCCCATCAACTGAAAGTAATCTGCTTAAGGAGGAAAGGTCTAGTTTTTGAACTTTAGTGAGATCACCCAGTGCACTTCTGGGACGCTCTCTTTTTTTAAAAGATGAGGAGAGAGTACTAGAGGTCACAGCTATGATCTCTGTTGCTGTTGTTGGTGGTGCTGTTGTTATTGATGATGCTGTTGTTACTGTTGCTGCTTGTGATAGTGTTGCAAATGGTGGTGTGTCTGGTTTCACAGGAGATACAATTGGTGGAGAAGTACACCTGGCTTCATCATCGTCAAATGTCACCCAGCTGGGGAAACGAGCTGTTGTTGAAATTTCGCTGTGGCCATTAATGGATGTGCTGTTCAGGTGGCAGCTGGTGGCTTCCATACCTAGCTCTTCATCTTCTAGAAGGGATGAGGAATTGTCTAAAAGAAAGGATGGGGGAAAAAGAGAGTGTCATGACCATAATAAAAGTTCTAGACAGCTTTTTTTCCCCCTTCCTGTATTATTAGAACTTGACAACATTCAATAAAGCTAAATGAAGGAAACTGCAGTAAGGACATATGTACTTGCCCAAGTTATAGTTAAACTATATAGGGTTTTGTTTAATAAGATGTGCTTAGCTAACTTTAAAGAACTAAAATTTCTTTCATAGTGGCTCGTACACTTCAGTTTTTACTCAATTTGGGTCCCCAGATATCATTAAATGATAACTTCCATCATTTTTGATTATCCACCTTGTGGACTGTGGATAATGAGAATTGCAAATCAACTGCACTTGTGAATCTGAGGTTGTGGAAAGGTTAAAGGACATTTTAAAGTTAGACATCATATCCACAAGTCTTGTATCTAAATTCAAACCCCACGATCTTGACTAAACACAACAAACTTCTAGATGCCACTGTATCACACACATTAGGTCTAGTCACGATGTCTAATGATGAGGAATATAGGAGTTGTAGTCCAGCATCTGGAAGGCCACATAAAATGACATGGTGGACCAGATTTGGCCCACAGGCCTTGAATTTGACACATATACCCTACAAGATAACAAATGGATGAAGTTCATATTCAAATTCAGGACAACCAAAACAATACCTTCTAGGTACATGATAACTTAATCCGGTGGTTCTCAACCTGTGGGTCCCCAGATGTTTTGGACTTCAGATTCCAGAAATCCTAACAGCTGAAAAACTGGTTGGGATTTCTGGGAGTTGTAGGCCAAAACACCTGGGGACTCACAGGTTGAGAACTATTGCTTCAATTCTTTCATCCAGCCAGCACTCAGAATGCACATAACTGGACCTATGCTTTTATAAGCATGGAAAACTTTGATAAATAGTAAGCATGCATTAGCAAAGCATGCAAATTACATTTACAGGCATAGCCCTACCCAACGTTCAGTATTTGCAATTATATTAACGTGCTGGTGATGAAGGCATAATTGTAGGCATATTGGACATTTTGTACAAATTATCTAAGGATGAGATAGAAGAATACAATTAGGTTTGATAAGTACACTCTACAGTAGCACAAGCAGATGCATATCATCTCATCCACAAATATTTTAAGTTGATCATGCTGGCTGAGGGGCTGCGGGACCTGTATGCCAATAAACCAGTATCTTAAAATTTTGGTTAGAGCTGTACCTAGACCACACGAAGGGGTGGTGGTGGTGGTGGAAGAGGAGGAGGAAAGGGAAAACAATGCAAATGCTGTTTACATATGTTACACATCTGACTTGATTCCTAGCCATTTCCCAAATAACAACCAGTACCTAATGTGTGAATTAAGAGGTTCACTGCATGCCATATTACCTCCTGAGCTAGACAGAGGTCCATAATCATTTTGTCTACTCTGCTTAATTCTATAGTATGGCCAGAAGGTGGTGCCATACAACTAGACTTAAACAAATTTTGAGTATATTTTCAAATTTGACATATTTAATTGCAGGAGCATTCCTCTCCCTAAAGTGAAATGGTAGAATTGTACTGCAGGGATTCTTACTGCTTATCACAGTTGCTGTCACAATACATTAGCTACCTCATTAGCCACTTTTCTATTCAAAGACACTTGCTGGCTGGCATACAATGGTATTTACTATCTGAAAGTATTTTGATAGTTGGCATGTGATACTGTATGAACGTAACAACAGTTGACAGATAATTTACCTTGGTTGGTAGACCCATTCAATCAATTTTTAATGGTGAGTCAACACAAATCCAGTGAATTTAATACATCTACTCTAATTTTGGCCAATGTGAAACTGTCGGCCAGATAATCCACTTCAGTGTGTATTTTATGCAGCTGTATGGAAGGGGCCCTAGATAACCCAGTCCCCTTCCACACAGCTGAATGAAATCCCACATTGTCTGCTTTGAACTGGATTATGTGTCCACACAGCCAGATAATCCACTTCAATGTGTATTTTATGCAGCTGTATGGAAGGGGACCCAAATAACCCAGGACTCTTCCACACAGATGAATGAAAGCCCACATTGTCTGCTTTGAACTGGATTATGTGTCCACACAGGCAGATAATCCACTTCAGTGTGTATTTTATGCAGCTGTATGGAAGGGGCCCTAGATAACGCAGTCCCCATCCACACAGCTGCATGAAATCCCACATTGTCTGCTTTGAACTGGATTATCTGTGTCCACACAGGCAGATAATCCACTTCAATGTGTATTTTATGCAGCTGTATGGAAGGGGCCCTAGATAACCCAGTCCCCTTCCACACAGATGAATGGAATCCCACATTGTCTGCTTTGAACTGGATTATCTGTGTCCACACAGCCAGATAATCCACTTCAGTGTGTATTTTATGCAGCTGTATGGAAGGGGCCCTAGATAACCCAGTCCTCTTTCACACAGCTGAATGAAATCTCACATTGTCTGCTTTGAACTGGATTATGTGTCCACACAGCCAGATAATCCACTTCAATGTGTATTTTATGCAGCTGTATGGAAGGGGACCCAAATAACCCAGGCCCTTCCACACAGCTGAATGAAATCCCACATTATCTGCTTTGAACTGGATTATCTGTGTCCACACAGCCAGATAATCCACTTCAGTGTGTATTTTATGCAGCTGTATGGAAGGGGCCCTAGATAACCCAGTCTTCTTTCACACAGCTGAATGAAATCTCACATTGTCTGCTTTGAACTGGATTATCTGTGTCCACACAGCCAGATAATCCACTTCAGTGTGTATTTTATGCAGCTGTATGGAAGGGGCCCTAGATAACCCAGTCCCCTTCCACACAGCTGAATGAAATCCCACATTGTCTGCTTTGAACTGGATTATGTGTCCACACAGCCAGATAATCCACTTCAGTGTGTATTTTATGCAGCTGTATGGAAGGGGCCCTAGATAACCCAGTCCCCTTCCACACAGCTGAATGAAATCCCACATTGTCTGCTTTGAACTGCATTATGTGTCAACACAGCCAGATAATCCACTTCAATGTGTATTTTATGCAGCTGTATGGAAGGGGACCCAAATAACCCTCTTCCACACAGATGAATGAAATCCCACATTGTCTGCTTTGAACTGGATTATCTGTGTCCACACAGCCAGATAATCCACTTCAGTGTGTATTTTATGCAGCTGTATGGAAGGGGCCCTAGATAAACCAGTCCCCTTCCACACAGCTGAATGAAATCCCACATTGTCTGCTTTGAACTGGAAGACATGGCGGGCAAAAAAGAGAAAAAGGGAGGGAGGAAGAGAGAGAAAGAGGGAGGAAAAAGAAAAGAGAAAGAAAAGGAAAGAGGAAAGGGGAAAAAAAAGGGGGGGAGAAGGAAAAAAAAAAAGGGGGGAAAGGAGAAAAAAGAAAGAAAAGGAAGGGGAAGGGGAAGGGGGGAAAAGAAAGGAAAGGGGGGGAAAGGGGGGGGGAAGATCCACACAGCTGAATGAAAGCCCACATTGTCTGCTTTGAACTGCATTATGTGTCAACACAGCCAGATAATCCACTTCAATGTGTATTTTATGCAGCTGTATGGAAGGGGACCCAAATAACCCTCTTCCACACAGATGAATGAAAGCCCACATTGTCTGCTTTGAACTGGATTATCTGTGTCCACACAGCCAGATAATCCACTTCAGTGTGTATTTTATGCAGCTGTATGGAAGGGGCCCCAAATAACCCAGGCCTCTTCCACACAGATGAATGAAATCCCACATTATCTGCTTTGAACTGGATTATCTGTGTCCACACAGCCAGATAATCCACTTCAGTGTGTATTTTATGCAGCTGTATGGAAGGGGCCCTAGATAACCCAGTCCCCATCCACACAGATGAATGAAATCCCACATTGTCTGCTTTGAACTGGATTATCTGTGTCCACACAGCCAGATAATCCACTTCAGTGTGTATTTTATGCAGCTGTATGGAAGGGGCCCTAGATAACCCAGTCCCCTACCACACAGCTGAATGAAATCTCACATTGTCTGCTTTGAACTGGATTATGTGTCCACACAGCCAGATAATCCACTTCAATGTGTATTTTATGCAGCTGTATGGAAGGGGACCCAAATAACCCAGTCCCCTTCCACACAGATGAATGAAAGCCCACATTGTCTGCTTTGAACTGGATTATATGTGTCCACACAGCCAGATAATCACTTCAGTGTGTATTTTATGCAGCTGTATGGAAGGGGCCCTAGATAACCCAGTCCCCTTCCACACAGCTGAATGAAATCCCACATTGTCTGCTTTGAACTGGATTATCTGTGTCCACACAGCCAGATAATCCACTTCAGTGTGTATTTTATGCAGCTGTATGGAAGGGGCCCTAGATAACCCAGTCCTCTTTCACACAGCTGAATGAAATCTCACATTGTCTGCTTTGAACCGGATTATCTGTGTCCACACAGCCAGATAATCCACTTCAGTGTGTATTTTATGAAGCTGTATATGGAGGGAGGGAGGGGAGGGAGAAGAAGGGGGGGGGGACGGAGGGGCCCCTAGATACCCGTCCCCCTTCCACAATCATGCTGAATGAAATCCCACCACTTGGCGGGTCTGTTTTGAACTCTCTGGATTATATTGTCCACACAAGCCAGATAAAATCCACTTGTCAATGTGTATTTTTTAATGCAGAGCTGTATGAGAAGGGGGCCCCCTAGATACCCAGGTTCCAACACCCAGAAAACACCCAGTCCCCGTCCCCTTCCCACACACAACTTTAAAATGAAATATCCCACCGCA